AATGTAATAGAGGGCTGCATTGCTGATTTTGCACTTTATCAGAGCTTTATTTAGAATTGCTTTCCTGAAAGCTACACACAGGCCACAGTGCTGAAATTCACAATGTCATAGCTTTTGGCAGAAAAAAGAAAAGACTTACCTAGGTAAAATTGGCTGAAAGTATGGCAGAGCAGGTCTCGATGCGTATGCCCATCCGTGTGCTTGCCGAAGCCGAACTGACTGCAACACATTTAACTCTGACCCACCATGGTGGCTGGCATATCCTGAACTTTCACCACTCTAAACAAGACAACTTTCAGCCCTCAGCATTGTATTAAAACACTGTACAAAACACTCAAAATTTGTTTCAGTGCCATCCACGGTCCACGGACAACATCAGTCGCCATTCACCAGGCCAGTAAAAACAGAATAGATAATAGCTTCAAACCCATGTAGTCAGAGTTACTAGGTCTGCACCTCAAAACAAAATCCAGGTGACATTCACCACGCCAGTAAAAAACAGGTACTTAGGTAACGTAACAGCTTCAAATCTGGTAACATGTTGGTCGGACTTTACACTACCATATTTACATGGAATAATATGATACCAAACAATAGTGCAACCATTCTGGACAACAAAAGTGTATGATAAAATTAATTTAGAATACTCTGGCAGCATGATTTACGAGCACAGGCAGGTGTTACCTACCAGCCTTCTCAATGCTCGTAAAACCAACATTGTAGTTTTGATTTTACCTTACATGATAACACACTTGGCTGCAATGGCACATTCAATTTAATACTGTGAAAAGACCAGTTATAACCACTTCACAAGCACAATTGCACCTCATGCCGACATCCTTTTCCAAAGACAGTCAGCAGCGTCTTTCGTCTAAACTGGAAGATAAATCCCCTTTCAACTGTTAACATCAAAAATATTTCTTCATGGTGTGACTGTGATCTCCATATGGAAACCTTGCAGGGAAAGAATTAATGTCAATTGTCAGCTCTTCAAATTTCTTTGGACTTTAACTTGCAGTACCATATCCAGTTTGCTTTGATATTTTGTTTTTTATTCCATGTTGAAGTTGAACACCAAGCTCCAGATATAGCAGGCAGCTTGATCATCTTCGGCCTTGGTATAATATCAGTCCAAGTTCCAGTGGTGGGTATCTTCTAATATTCAAATTAAAATGAAAAGCAATAGGCTTTCTCAGCGCCGACGACGGATTTCACGTTGATAAAAAAGGGAGCTCAAGGTCAGCAAAACTCGGGTTCAAGGAATGGCGGGCGTTGAAATGACTGCTGACGTCATCAAAAAACCGCTAATGGTTAAGAGATAGGGACTAAGCTGGTCCCACCCTGCAAGTAAAGGGAAGAAATTTCTTGAACACCATAAAGCTGCGGGGGTTGCGACCAGGATAAATGGTGGTTTCTGAGCCTGGCCGCAAACTTGGCTATCTCAACTCAAAACTAATGTTAAGGTGGGATGGTCCCTTTAAGTTACTGGCCCAGTCCCAAGACGATTGGTCAGAATACATTTTACATGTAAAATAAAGTGAGACAACTGGTAAACCGAATGTTAAGATTAGAATGTGCTTATGCCTTATACCTACTTTGCTTTTTAGCTTAGTTACCTACTGACCAGATTATCAACATAATCACATGCCAACATGTTGGCATAATACAAAATGACCCGGTATTGACTTCCTGCACTCTGCACAGTCACCAACGAGTACACTGACCCACAAGATAAGTCATAGTAGATGTTTTGACTGAAGGTGGTTTTATTAATTTAAGCCGGTTTAAGCCGGTTTAAACCGGTTTAAACCACTGGCTGGCATAAATTCAATTTAGACGGCTTTTATCCAACCCTGACACCGTTACCCACTGACCTGAGAAAACGTTATTAATATTGGTAAAGTAACCTTGGCTATCAATGCCACTAGTTTGATGATATTATCAGCGTCCCTCTCCCCACGTCACAGAGGTCAGTTCAGCCCCGCCCGATTTCCCTCCCCAAATGGATGAGCTGCCCGACAGTTTCACGACTCTCCAGCGGGCAGGCACGCCTGCCAGTTCCAGGCCAGCCATATGGGATAGATGAGGTCAGAGGGTGACCGGGGACGTGGCCCCTGGCCGCCGGTCTGGCGGATGACGGCCCGGGGCGCCGGGCCCATCGACCCGCGTTCGGCGGTGGGTGCAGAGGGGTGAGTAGGGAAAGGGGTGCAATCAGGGGGCTTGCACAGGGGTCAGGGATGCATCTGAAGACATGAAATGTGTCCAATCATGGACAAGCTTTGTATCACCCGGTGGCAAAGGGGACTCGTTATCGAGCCCAGCAGATGAGCTCTTCGTTACACGAGCAGGGACACTGTTTCAAAGTAAACGGCCACTTCCCGGGGTCTTTCAGAAAGCAAAAAGTCTGTGTAAGCGCTAACAAGTCTGATCGACGAGAGTATAGGCTTATTAGACGCGCAGCGATCGATGAGGCTATGGCGCGGCGCAAAGTAAAACCGGTCCTTAGTCCACTGGTCGTAAGAAAGCAGCAGCACGGTGGTATCCCAAAAAGCTCCCCGTCGCAGGGCTCGGACAGTGGACCGGTCTGTTGGATCATGCGTGAAACTCTCAGAGTCTGCGGCGAAGGCGGGCCGCGAGTCATGTGCACAACTACAGGATCGAAAAAGTGTGCCCTGTGCGGTCTCTACCGCGCGCCGTCGCACAGTGTGGCCAAACACCAGTTTAGCGCGAATTAAATCCCAGCGCTGCTCGGATCCGTTGAAAATGGTTCCCTGGTTTCAAAATTGACACTTAAACCTATGTGAGACCTTTTACGATGCATTATAAATGCTTGCTGACATATAATGGCATAGTTCCGCCTCTAAAAGTAAGGAGAACTAGTTTACGACGGGTGATGTGCTTACCAGGCCAAGGCTGTGAAGTCGATGGAGTTACTCCGACTCCGACTACGGCTTTCAAAAGTCAATTTCAACTCTGACTCCGGGCAAAACTGTCGCCTTATACGATCGACTCGGACTCTGACTCCGCAGCCATGGCAATTCCACGCAGTCGACGGATTTTCGGTGACTCAGACTACGAGTCTTGGTCCGGATTCCAAAATCGATTCCGATTCCGACTCTGACTGCAGGGTCAGAACTGGTGACTCCGAACGACTCCGACTCTGATTACGAAATCCTGGAATTTAACCGCAAATAAGAGGCATAAAATTGTGGGTCCCAGCAATGATGGGCATGTTAGGAGGAGGAATCGTTTACGAAATTCCCATCATTTCTCTGGTAAATTCTTATGATTGTCCAAAGTTTGCTTGAAAAAAAATCAACATCTAATTATGTTTCTGTGTGAATGTTCCTGGTGAAGCACATGAATCGGTAGATGGTTGCTGAAATACACGCACCGATAGGACTGAACCTCAGCAATGGGAGTAAAAACAAAGACTTACACCATAAGCACCTTCATGTCATTAACCCTCGCCCGTATTGGTGTTTTGCTAGCCGCGAACGTAGGTCGGGTCAGGTCAGGTCAGGCCAACCAGTCCTGCCGGGTATTCATAATTAATAGGTGTCAACCGCCAGTGACAGCTTCGTTGCATGTTACGAAGGCACCAAAACTTCTTCCTAAATGTTCAAATGGTTACTTAATTCGAAATCAGCTCCAAAAACTAGCCTGGGAACATGTAAAACTAAAAAAGGTGAACCAAGGTCATCAAAGGTCATTGAACTGACCTGACCTTCAAGTGATCTCGACACCGACCATAATGCATGGGACCAACATCATAATATCACATGTTTAGACGCTTGAAACCACGAAAAGACTGCAAACGCGCGGCTAATGCAAGCAAACATACGCCCAATCGCGCTTCCGGCCAAACATGGTCTCGAGAAATAGGTCACAGGTCAAAGGTCATTGGGTTCAGGGTCGTGAAATTTAATGGGTAGGTGTAAAATTGATTAACTCGAGGGTACTGAAAGTTTCGTCGCCATCGGCCGCTTTTTACATGAGCTTTTTGCGAAAAACCGAGAGGGGTCCTTTCGACCCCCACCCTCACCCCCTACCTACATGGGCGAGGGTTGAAAAATTGTCAAGATTTATTCATTGGCGACCGTATTCTGCAATATAACAAGTCAGAAATACAGCGGTTGAGCCATCCGCGTAACGTTACGGAGCCGCCGCCGCGCCCACCCTGTAGCCGGACCTCTCCGGGCGGGCCAACCCGATACGTTCAAAGCTGAGCCAAAGGCCGGGGGGCAGGTTGGGGCAGGGTTTCTTGAATGGATCATGTCCAGAAAAGTGTGGCGAATCTTCTCATGGTAGATTTGGCGTGGAGTTTTTTGGCCATTTTCTTATATCTCTACGTTTTTAAGATGGACAGTGTTTTCAGGGGATGTTTGAAAAGGTCATTTTCAAATGAGCATAACTCATCGGTTAGTCCAAGGATACCTATAGAATTCGGGTATACTATCAAATATAGGCGCAGTAGTCATATGCCACTCCAATTATTTCCAAACCTTTCCGACAATTACGCCAAGATGTGTTGTAAACATGACGCGGGTTTTCGACGATTTCAGCACAGCCGGGACCGGCATTGCGTATGTCCACTTTAGCTAGCTTTTTGGACACCGAAAGGAAGACATTGAACCAAAGTATTGTGATATTGACATACTTTGGACAATTTCCTATCGACTGATGGTTATAAAAAGTCAAAATTCCAAAATTCGTTTTTTGATTAAATTCGCGCTAATCTGGCGTTTGGCCACACTGTGCGTCGGTTGGGCCACCTTATATCAGCACCCCGAGGTCAATCTCTGATTCAAATGTCATGTGAAATTCATGACCAAAGTGCAGGAAAATGACTAGACGTTGTCGATGCGTCGCACCGCACCCACCCAGCGGTCAAAGCTCTTGGAGAGTCACAGAAGATAGCAGAGACGGGAGACAGAGTGGGCTGCCATCAGCAGTAGTTCGCGGCGCCGCCGTTAGATGACAGCAGCGGCGGGACTCACCTGGACGTGCCCAGCTGCTGGTAGCCGTCGCTGCCCGCCGCGCCGTTCGATGAGAGCAGAGAGGAGCGCTCGCCGCGCGCGTCTCCCGGAGTCTCGTACTCGAGCCGGTTCTGTCCGCCAACCCAGGTCTGCAGCGAGCCCATGCCGCGCTTACCGATCTCGGTCACCTGCCGGCGGCGGGTCACAGATCATTCCGGGTAGGTCAGGGGAGGTCAGGGCAGGTCGGACTATGACTTACGTTAGGTAAAGGTCACTTACGGCCCGCTACGGGCTACGGCATACGACAGACACAGATCAGACGATCAGTTAGTACAGTCACAAGTACAGCGAGCCACATTTCACAAGAAGTTTATCCAGGGTTGGCCGACGGCTAACGTCCGCTCCCCGGCCTCCACAGCAGCTCCCCCCCCCCCCGTTAAAAACCATTATCTGACCCGGCCCGTGCGGGCTCCATCCTCGACAGGCGACACAGCACCCTCATCTATCTGAGCCCCACCCTAGAGCCTTCTCTCCGACAGGCAGTAGCACCATCTATCTCCGGTCCTTGCAATCGGAACCATTGAGATCTCATACACATGTACTAAGAATATCCATGACTCCAACGCCCAGTAGTGTGAACAGCCCAAACTCACCGCATCCACCAGCCCCTGTTCAGCAGCAATGAAAGAGACCAAAGCCCATCGTTACAAGCGGATAGGTAGGAGCGAGCACGGGTAACCCGATCACTCACCTTCCCAGTCAGCGAGGAGGCCTGAGTCAGCAGCTCGTCTCCCAGTTTACCTTCGCGCACCTGAACAGAGTGTCAGCGGGCCCTCGGTCAGCATCAGACACAGAGTATGGGGTCGGGCCGACCGGGTGGCGGGGCTAGGCGAAACTGATCACAGACAACAGCTTGAAAACATAGCAACGAAAGAAGCATGCAGCGAACAACTGCAAAAATATAAGACATATCTAAACGTAGGTGAAATGAACAACACATTAGAAACAGAATAAACAGACGCACACAAGGCTGCTAACACACGTGCAACAATATAAGAAAAAAAGATATATATTGATATGATCTTACAGCTGAAATGGAACCTTCGACAGTTTTGAATGGTGGGATCCCAACTATGATTGTGATGATACATCATTGCAGTTACTGTGAGGAGTGTGGTCAGTGGTGACTGCTATCAGCTGAGCTAGGATCGGCATTGACAGCCCTTTACTGTGGTGGGCGGAGCGGAGATGACAGTCTATTGAGTTAAGTGAGTGGAATCGACAGCTCTCTGTTGTGAGGAGTACTCTGCATTGAGGGATGTGGCAAAGATGGCAGACCACTACCAGCGACTCACCTTCTCCGTGACGGTCTGAGAGACCTCTGAGAGTTTCTCGGAGGCCGAGGCAGACAGCCGGACGGCAGAGTCGGTGGTGGTGCGAGCCAGCCGGGTGGCTCCGATAGAGAGCATCGACCAGCCCTGGGGGCAGGGACACAGTGTAAGATACACTAAAACGCAACACCGACAAGCCCTGGGAGTATGGACACAGTCATGTGATGAGACAGAGCATTAACCAATGACCGGCCCTGGACGCAACCTGGACATAGTGTGATTGAACAGAGCATTGACACTGGTTTGAAAAAAGCAGACACAGTGAGAAACAGTGAGCAGTAATCGCCACGCACTTTCAGAATGTGGATCGCTCATGATTGTTCAATACAATACAATACAATACAATACAATACAAATCACAATTACTATCCAAAGAAGTAAGAGTACACGCAGCCGCTTAAGACCTCCCCACCCCACCATCATCGGTTACTTACGCTGGCCAGCGCCTGCAGGGCGTTGTCCATCACCTCGTTGGACTGCTGCCGGGGCGGCGGGTCCACGGTGTTACCGAACCCGGAGTACCGGCCGCCCTGCGACGGCGGCAGGTGGCTGCAACACGAGACATACCCGGGTCAATACGACAGGCCGCACAGGCCTCACCAGCCCAAACCATCCACAGCCAGTGCCTCAGTCAATACTAAGGTAATCCCCCAGCAAAAGTGATTATGATCTGGGAGTATACCCGGTGCGCATCGAATGACTATCTGATTGTTCCGCTCAGAAAGGATGGCTCTACCAGACAACTCTTCCTCTTGGCACTGAGGCCCAATAGAATAGACTTCTTCCTCAATGTCCAAAAGTCAAAATTAACAAAAAGTAGGTATACCAGCTCCATTCATGATCCACAAAAAGTGTAAGCGCGACACTCACTCAGGTCGGCTGGCGTTCTCCTGCTGCACGCGCGCGAAGAAGGCCGCCTTCTGGTCGTTGAAGTCCTGCGCCCGGCCGCCGCCGCTCTGGTACCCACCCTGGCGGAGCAGGCAAACGACACGTCTCAGTGAAAGGACGAAGGGTAGCCACGCAACCGTTAAGCCGAAAGTACACAGGACATGTGCACAGCATCGCACACAAGCCGAAGGAATAGATAAAGCATAAGCGAAACAGGCGTGCGTTTGTCCGAGGTACTAGTCCAACACCGGGTGGACTTTGTACTGTCTACCGACCGAGTACATACAAATCGACTGCACTGACAACAGAATCCATAAGATTGATAAGCGCTGTGCATGTGGAAAGGATAAGAATGAATGGAGGACAATATCCTATGAGTCAGTATTATAGAAGGTACTGAATAGGTAGGTAACATCTTTCCTGAATGGGACGTGGTAGCCACGGTCCAGTCAGGGTGTCAAAAAGTACATGCAAAACCGGATCTTTCGTAATCAAAAGATAGCATAACTGAGCAGAACTGGTTGGACGGGCGGAAAACAAAACTCTACTTTTGCCGACTGACGGAACCACATCAAACCGTCCGAAAACATTGGGGTGTTATGGAGGACAATAAACACCTAGGATCAACGTCATAAAACAGGCACATGACGCATCACTGACAAGAGATAAGACACTGATATGATAGGGATACGGTACGGATACGGAATTCAAGGCAGCTGCTGAACAAGCCAAACCATAGGCGACGGGTAATGTCTAGCGTGCTACCACCAACAGAATCAGGGATCAAATATTGCTCCAGCTTCTCCAGTTTGTAGTAAATAAGGCTAGTGGAAGGAGTTCGGTTATACGTTACCGAACGTCAATCAGGATCGGCGAAAGTTATTCTCCTTGCCATTATCAAACTAACTACTGACAAAAGGTAAATGAGCTAGAGGTAGTTGAATCATATATGACACTGTGCGACCAGCAAACCATTTGCGAATTGGTCTTTTCACATAAAAAAGGTGCCAGCATCACCACCACTCAGCAAGGGCAGGGTGGCGCCCTTTCTCACCATGCCGGCGCCGTCAGCCTGGTATCCTCCACCGCCCGAGTAGCCTCCGCCGCCGGACGAGTACCCTCCGCCTCCGCCGCTACCGCCGTAGCGGCCAGTGTTGGGCGTCGAGGCGCTCCGGTGCATCCCGCTCGACGCGGGAGCCAGGGAGCGGCTCGGGGTGCGCGCCGCCGCCGCTGCCGCCTTGGCCGCGTCCCACGTACCACCGGCGGCCTCCGTGCTGATCTGAGGAGCACCAGAAAAATCAGCTCAGTGGTTAATAATGGAGGCTGAGGATCAGTAGACATAAGATATTTGACAATACGTGACGGGCGCGTTAACATCCCACAGACATGGGATAGTCAAATAACGGTGATGTTTAAGCCTCGAACTGTGAACTGTTCGAACTGTTAAGCCTCGACTTTTGAAATATAATCAAATTTTGTAATCTAGTTTGGATTAAACACTTACCTTTTCCCTCAGAAGAGTGCATGCCTTTGAAGCGTATTTCTGAGCGATCGGCAGCGTCTCATCCCAATCATCCTGGGCCTCCAGAAATTCCCGAGCCTTTCGGTTACCGCCAACCTGGCATGGGCGATATTTCATTAATGTGCTTCATCTCAGAATGTTACAATTCATACCAGGAAAGCCAATAAATTGAAATAGCTTCAGTAACATGGATCTAGAATACAAATTCTATAAAGAGTGCAATACGAACTAATACCTTTATATCGCTTAGCGCTAAAAGAATAGGTCACGACGGCAGAGTATCGTATCGCAGCGGCGGTACCGATCCCCTGCGGCCTACCTTCATCTTTTCCAGTTCGATGTCCTTCCACTTGTCCATGGTGAGCGATCGGACAAACGATAGGTGGACGCCCAGGCCACGGTGTTTGCCGGAACATTCCAGACAGATCCAGATGCCCAGGCTGACCGAGGCCCACTGGGGGTTGTGGCCCTGGCACTCGAAACACCGCTGAACACAAAAGAAGATAACGAATCAAGATGGGGTTATGTGTAAGGATCGGGGAAGAAACACGGTAAACGCAGGATGGAAATAATGCCATATGTTTTATGATTATAAATCTCAATAAAACGATTTTTAACCCAGCATAATGCATCCGTAAAACCAATTTAATCAAAACATAAAGTTATAGCGCAAACCATGCCATCTAGTGTTTTATGATTATAAATCTCATATGAGTTATTACTATTTGACCGATACCATGTTCATCGACAATGGGCTGGGTTTCTTTCTATTTTTTCATCACGATCACGAAATTTTTTTCCAACAACCTAACTTGTCGCAAAACATCATACGTACGTTGTTGTCATTCTGGGTACGAAGGTCTTGTAAAACTCTTCTTGTGCGAGGACTTGACATGATTCTTCTTTATGGAAACCGAGTAGAGACTATTTAGATAATTGTGAACTAAGCAATTTAAGCCGAAGTTGTATAAGTGATACTGCTAAACACCTGAAAAAAATAGCATAAAAAGTCAGTCTGTTAGCTGCAGATTAAATTGAATGGGGTAACCCATATCTAAGTTAGCAAACAATTTTGTAGTTAAACCAGGGGCCAGCCCCAATTACAGCAGAACCTTCCAGTGACGAAGTTAATTGCCCATCTCATTTGGTCCCGACAGTGATGAGATGGTTTTAGTCACGACTCACGGGTGCCAGCATACCAGCTAAATTAACGTGGTCCGTCCAGTCAGGATCCTGGATTGTTGATAAGGCCAGGACTTCTACTAACTATGCGGTCTGGAACAGCCCCTAATGGAGCCCAGCAATCAGCATCAGGCAAGCCGGGGGATGGGGGAGCGCCACACTGAATAAAATAATTTTCCGCAAGTTCCGCAAGGCACCACTGATGGTTCTGCAATACAGCCTTTCGTGACAACCAGGGACTCCCGAGGAAGGACGGCGACCGGCAACGGAGGTGTCGCCTGAACCTAACAGCAGGCCGGTTGCTTAGAGCAGGCCCCCTCCCATTAACTCAGAATCCCCCAGTAAACGACTCAACAGAAATCCGCATGCATCATCGAAGTAAAACCACTGGACACACTGAACATACAAACTGGTGAGGCCGACGAGAGACGCAATTTGAGAGGACGAGAGACGAGACTTGACAGGACCAGAGACGAGACCTGAAACGACGATATCGGAATATCGGCCGATAGACGACTGTACCGTAAAAGTCGGCGGCCACAATGCCACCATCCGCTTCGGAGCACAGACTGGGAGGCAGCAGAGTGCGCACTGCTGAAAATGCCTAGCCACCATAGCATAGATGGACCATCTTGGCTGGATCTCAATAAGTGGGAACTGGGAGTGACCCAGCACACACCAATTACCGCTTGACTTATCACTCAGCACCACTGGCAACAGCCCTACAAGATACCCCAGGTATGACTGCATCTCTATGTGCATTATGCAGATGACATTGTGGTCTGTCCTGTTTGGAGGTCTCAATTGTACACGTTCTGGAGCGAGCACCGAGCGGCCCCAGTGGCCCATCCTCATCTGGTGCACCGAAACAGCGTCCTCTTGGTCCTCTCTGGGGATGGGGAGCGGTGACATGCTCCAGAAAAGTGGCTTGAATAGTGACTCAACTCAGACCAGTTGTTGCGCTGTTGACGTGAGGCCACACAGTGATCTGTCTGGGTCAGCGAGCAGGCATCCAAGGGCATCGTGGCTGCTTGATTCCCTTGGTCTTCCACCCTCTCATTCCCCTCGATCTTGCAGTGGGCAGGAACCAAGAATGGCAGGAGCAAGGAACCCACTGTGGGATTACTTCCCAACACTTAGCGATGTTCAACTAGGTCTTCCATATGTGGGACCGATTCCCTTCTCTCATATCGTGGTAAAGAGAACACACGTTCGAGCTCCGCTGTCATTCGGAGGCGCGCTCCCTCACGCGTCGTGGTCCGGCCGCCGACCCAAATATAGCCTCGCTCGGCGGACCGGCCCCGTATCCTGTAACCACGGATGCTCTGCTCCCGGCACCGACGCTGACGAACTGTAGACAGTCGGAATACACCTCTCGGCCCGTTCGGTTCTCTTCTCTCGCTTCCGCGCCCCTACGACAATGGTGGCAGCGGCGGTCGAGGGGACTTGTGCCCCTCACAACGGACCCCAGCCTCTGCATCTGCATTAACTTCGCAGACTGGTTAGTCCGTGCTCCGATACGGTGCGTCGCCCCTACGTCACGTCATCGACTAGGGAGCTGACCTGTGACCATCCTGGACTTGTCATCGTCCAGCTGCACCGTCTCCAGTGAGCAGCTCTGCCCGGCAACATCATCGGCCTGCGGCAACCAACGCCATCAGCTGCACTGGACCTCTACGGAGCCCGCCGACAGCGCACGGCTCATCAGCCTGCGCAGTCCTCCTCAGCGTTATCGAGTGATGGACACCACCTCGTATACAACATCTAGCCTGAAGGAGAGAAGAATGGAAAATTCAAGCTAAAAAAAAAACTCAAGAAAAAGTCAAAAATCATTCCACTTAAAAATCGTGATCAAGAAAATGAAAAAGATAAATGAACTCTTGATATTTTTATAAAAAAGTGACAGTGATTGATTGGTGAAATCTTGTAAAACAATTGTGAATTTGTGAAAAATTGTACTGTCATGAAATTGTTTTCGTCAGTGTTCTGTGTCGTTTGCAGTGTTTCTGTGGTTACTCTCAAAATTTTACGGAGAAGTACGCAAGTGCAGTTCTTTAATTTTACTGTAGAAGATCTGCACGCAGTAGCCTTCCTTGGACGGAATAGAGACGTAGGGATCGTAGACGTTCACCATAGCTCATGGTCTCCAAGCCACAAATGCGCTTAGTCCATCGGCGCTGCACTCTTTCTAATAGCCTCAAATCCTGAATAGAAATACATACAATACGGTCAAGAAATACAGTGATGATTAACATCAAAATCAACATAAAGTGGATTTAGTGATCCAAGCTTTCTCCTCCAGTAGCAATGGAATGATGATCGCATGTTTCATTTGCCAGACACTGAGTACCTAGGGCTGTTCACGGGCCCTGTGCGCGGTCGGACCGCACACAGCCTCGAGGCTCCGCCCACTTCGTCCCTACGTCAGCCTTCCGTCACCGCACACAGCGATCGCTGTGGCCGGTCGGGACTGGCCACAGCGGACCGTCCACCGCATGCAGCCGTGACGTCAGAACCGCCTACCCATCCCCTACCCCCACGCCTGCTGGACGCACCGCACACACCGCACGCAGCAGTGTGCGGTGCCCGTGAACACCCCTCCTGATGCACATTACAATCTGCATAGCATGAAGCATCTAAGCTGCCCAAGTCCATTCATTCTAGATTTTTAACTTGAAAGTTAGCACTAATTTATCTTGTTGTAAGTTATCATTCAATATCCATACCAATACATCAATATGCACTCATCAGTCAACATTTTCTGGCATGATCCTGCTCAGCGTGCTCTTCAGTAGGCATTGCTCCAAGGTCTGCAATATTATAGCTTGTTTTTGGCCAATAAGCTCTTTTAATTTTACTTTTTCTTGCTGATATATGAGCCCGATCACCTTGCGTTTATCAACCAAAATTTCATAACTTGTACAACTTGATATTGATATTGCTCAGGAGTCAGGACCTCTGTCAGCCTCCTGGATACTTCGGATTGTTTTCAGTCAACATGCTTCTTAAATATGATATAAGTCAATATTCAAAACATCCAACAAAACGACGTACAAGAGCAAGAAAACCACCTGATAAACTAAAACTCTACTGCTGCTTCTTGGGGCTTGTTTATGAATGTAAAGAAGTGCTCAGTCCTCCGTTTCTCGAGGTCCTTTACTAATGTAGTCCGCCCCACATATACCCTAGATGGCAAACCTATTCCTCATGTCCACTCTGCCTCCGACCTTGGTGTACTGATTGATTATGGCTTGAAATTCCACGACCATATCCGTATGGCTACTCATAAAGCTGGCGCTTTGGCCTATAGCTTCCTTAAATCCACTGTGTGTCGATCTCCAAAGTTCATGGTGTTCCTGCTCACCACTCACATACGACCAGTGCTTGAATATGCCTCTCCTGTCTGGAACTCTGGTTTTATTCAGGATTTGAGGCTATTAGAAAGAGTGCAGCGCCGATGGACTAAGCGCATTTGTGGCTTGGAGACCATGAGCTATGGTGAACGTCTACGATCCCTACGTCTCTATTCCGTCCAAGGAAGGCTACTGCGTGCAGATCTTCTACAGTACTGGAAAATCTTTAACGGAAAATCTTGTATATCTCCGGCTGATTTATTTCCACAGCCGCCTCAGAATCGTACACGAGGCCATTGCCACAAAATATTTCCCTCTGCCATAAACACTGACATTAGGAAGCGCTCGTTCTCTCAAAGATGTATTTCTGTATGGAATGCCCTCCCCGCTCAAACTTGAACTGTGTGTGCTCACGATGTCAACACGTTTAAATCTTTGTTAGATCGCGATATCAATGATGCGTTGTACTCTTACCCAACGTGAAAGCTCTACCTACACTAAGAACTAGGACAGTTCCAAACATTTCTCCATGCTGAACTTTTGTTACTTTGAACTTTAATTACTTCCTGTAAATCTGTGAAGGAGACTCACTTCTCCAGTCAGTTTGTACATGTATAATCTACAGCACAAACTTCCTACTGACTGGCGCGTCTCTTAAATGCAGGGTTCCTTGTACCTTCCTCTCTCACTTTCTCCACCATTTTCCTCCCCGGACGCAAAAGGAACCCAACCAGGTAAGTCAGGTAAGTAAAAATGGCCTTGGAACAGAGCCAAGTGGTGCTCCATTTGTTTGTTTACAATGATTGTAGTGCTGATGTATTTTTAGGGCTCTGAACGTCGGCTTATAAAAAAATGAAACGTTTTTACAAAAGTTGTGAGGCAAGTAATATTTATCTGAAAGAACTAAAATATTCAAAAGCCAAACACTATGAAACACATGAATCGGAACGAAAAAGTAACCCAAAATCCAGCCTAATCACCGGCTCCTAAAACTGCAACAAAATCAGCACTTTTCCCCGCAACTCGTTGTCCAGACGTAAATATGCTGGACAACACGACGTTGAGGTGGCCATTTCTAGTAAACATGCGCAGGAGAGACGTTCATGAATGATCATTTTTGCTGCATTTGGAAGTTTTGGGCAGCATTGACAGGAATGCCAAGGCAAAGATGCGATTATTTCCATCGCTTGCAGGAAATAAAGCAGAATCCTTAACATCGATTGTTGAGTGCTTTTTGAAACGAATAATAATAATTCGACTAGAGGGACAGCATTACGCGCAGCGTAAAGAGGGACAGCATTACGTGCAGCGTAATAAATCAAGTTTCAATAAAATCGGCCCAGTAGCGGCCGAGTTATGGCCAGAATAAATTGGGCGTCTCCTCCTGGCCGGCGGTGCCCTGTTCCGGTATTCATTGCCAAAGGTCAACGACCTCCGACTCTGTTTTCCCTCAGTTTTGCAAGCGAAGAAACTGAGTCTATGGCGCGTGCCGTCTGCTCGGCGCCGGCCGCGGCCCAAAATGCTGCAAAGATGCGCCCGCCACGTGCAAACCGGCGAGCGCACCCCCACCAAAATTTAATACGACAAACAGATGCACGCGTCCGACTTGCGCCGAAAATTTCACCCCCGTAGCCCGCACCGTTCCAGAGCAATAGCCCGCCAAGCGTGACTGACGCGTTACATACATACATACGGACGTTTTGATTTTTATATATGTAAATAACATTCAGAAACGGCCGGTCGGTACAGATCTGTGCAAGTTCATATATAAATGTTTGGCAAAAAAGTGTGTTTTTTTCCGGAGTTGCTTCATGATTGTGATGCTTTATTCCCTTGCTTATGAACTTTTTTTTCATAATGTATGACCCCACGGCCTACATTATTGTGTTGCCTTGCATGCATGAGGTCCGAGAGGCTGACGTAACCTAACGTTTTAATTGTAGTTAGTAGGAACTGACTAGCATCATTACTTGCTAAAATGCACTTATCTCAAAGTTACACACTACCTCTCCTCGACCTCTTGAACAGCTCTAAAAACTTTTCCTTTCTCGTTTTCAGCTAGTGTGACATTGATGTCTGCATGACTGGTTGAAAGGGCCTGATGTACCAATGAGCTTTTCATTAGTTAGGTAGGTAAATGGAAAATGGCAAAAATTGAAATAGATTAAAACTGGATTTTTCATCAGATGCATACATTTCTTGCTATTATCCAGACTAATGTTGATGTTTGGAAACAAATGAGAACTGAGAAGCCACCTCACTGCACCAAGTACTAACCCACTCTTACAAATGTTCTCTCACAATTTGTACCAACTGACCCTGGGCCTAAACAAAAGGTATAGTTTTTGCTGCTTATTGGTGAGATAGATGCCTGTCAGTGTCACCTATGCATTTGATATGTGAAAAATTGCAATAAAAGGACAATAATTCCTAAGTCAGCCCTATTGTGTCTCCTGTATATCATTTTCCTTTAGGGTGTTGCACCAGCACAGTCAGTCAGAGTCAGCTAAGCATGCCAAGTTGCCCTCTATTGTATTAGTGTATAAAAGATCTGAATGCCACAGTAAATCAGCACTATTCGAATTCCTTGCACTGGCTGAGTGTCTCCACACTGACAAGATCTCATTGAACTTGCAATATTTTGCACTTAGTATGGGCTTTGATTGGAGTCTGGACTCTGCAGTCCCCAGAGGTGATTTATAGTTATTATCAGCACACCTACTGAGTCTTATTCAGGGTAGGTAGGTAGTAGGCAGTAGCTAAATTTCACCAATATTTTTCCCACAGCATCATTTCGCTTCATTGTATTCTGCCTTTAAAACCCATGAGGCATTGCAAAGTATTCAGTAAAGAAGATTGAACAATTGGATGGCTGATAGCAAGATTCTTTAACCCTCTCAGACAGTTCAGCAAGAACAATTACCCATTTTAGTGTTACATCCAACTGCAGCACCTTCTGCAGCCATGTCTTACCCACTGTCACACAAGACTGTGTTTGTACTTGACTGTTCACCGGCCATGGAACGGCCATGTGGGCACCAGTTTGAGATGGACTCACTGAGCAAGGGCCGCTCCAGCGGTCTGATCCCACTGGCGCCCGTCACCAAGACTATGTGGACGTGCGCAGTGGAGGCGGCTGTCGAGTACTGCCGCATCGTGTGGGACATCTACCCATCGGCCCGGCTGATTCGGCTCATCGCCAATGGCGCTCAGGCGGTGTCTGTGAACGACTGGACGGCGGCCGACCAGCACCTGACCGCGCTGATGCAGCAGCTGGCGGGCGTGATGGGCGGCGTCCGCTCGGCCGGCAGCCAACACTCGCTGCACGCCGGTCTGGCGGCGGCGCTGCACGCGCTCGGCGAGCCGTCTGAGGCGCAGCGGGCCGACCGCGCCGCCGACGCCGCCGCCAAGGTGATGAACCGCGGCCGCGTGGTGGTGGTGTCCCAGCTGGCCGACGACGGCCAGGCGCGCCGGCTGCGCGAGTGGTTCGCTGACGCGCTGCTGCAGCACAACCGCACGGCGGACGGCGCCGCCGGCCGGCTGACGGTCCACAGCTGTGAGCTGGTGCTCGTATCGGTTCACCCGGACACGGCCGAGTGCCCCGTCACGCCGCGGCCGCCAGCGCCGCTCAGCGCCATCCTCAGCGGCTCCGTGGTCACGGCCAAGGCCGGCACCCAGTTGGCGCCCATGATGATGAACCTGGTGCTCAGCCACTACGAGCTGGCGTCTACCACCGTCACCGGCATCCCAATGAAGGAGGAGCAGAACTCAGGCAGCTCGGCCAACTATGACGTGGAGCTGCTGCACCCGGCCAAGGCGTACGAGTCCATCCTGCAGGGAAGCCCGGCAGACCACGCTCACCTGCGCACGCGTCGGGACGGCTGCGAGTATGAAACCATCACGCTCAAGTGGTGCACGCCGCGCACCAGTAGTGCCGAACTGCACCAGTGCACGAGTGCGTCGCGCGTGACACCGGTGGACGTCAACAGCCGGCCCTCGTCGTGCCTCACCAACTTCCTGCTCAGTGGTCGCGCTGTCATGCTCGAAATGCCACGCAGAAGCGGTGGCAAGTTCGTCTCGCATATGCTGGCCGCGCACGGTGGTGAAATCTTCATGCACGCGCTGGGCAGTGGCCGCTCGGTGCTAGAGGACCCGCCTAGTGTCAGTGAGGGTGCCGGCGGCCGCGTCACCGACTACCGTATCACGGAGTTCGGCCGATTGGTGAGCGACAACCGTCTGGCTCCCGGGGAAGCTTCTGAGGAGGGCGGTGTGCCGCTGCATGCGGCGCTCGAGCGGCTGGCGCGCCACACACGTGTCTGGCCCATGACGCTTTCCGAGTCGTGTCTGGCGGCTCTGCCGTCTCTGGATTCACTAACGGCTCTCCTCGTCAAGGACTCGCTCTCTACAGACGAGGTGCTGGAGTGTAAGAAGGCTGTATACAATCTGGTGTCTATGGAGGCTCGCCACGAGCCCCTGCCTGTGACCACTAGCGGCGCGCGCGGCCGCGGTGTGAAGCGCGAGGAGCAGTACCGCGCACTGTGGTCGGAGCTGGAGGCACTGGTTCGCGCTCACTGCCGCTCGGACGGCCACCAGGCGGCGCTCGAGTGCGTGCTCGAGTGCCGCAGCCAGGGCCGCGCTGCCGAGGAGCGCCTCGGCCTCGATCAGGCCATGGAGGAGCTGGACCGCTGCGGCGCGCCTGTGCAGGACTCTCCGCTGTCGCCGCCGCCGACCAAACGCTGGCGCCGAGACCGGCCACCGGCCCAGCTCAGCTTGCTGGAAATGTGGAACCAGCGAGTTGACGCCGATAACGCGCTCAAGAGGCTCGAGTTCTCGGGCAGGCTGAACGGTGGTGATAATAACATCGTCAAACTGTATGCGAAACTCGATAAGGACAAGGGAGACGATGTCAAAAAGTGATTGTTTAGTTACCATACGTTTTGTGTGTGTGCGTTTGTACATTATGATTCGGAGTGTGACTTGTTGAATTTTCACCGAAGGTTGACCGCGGTGCAGGCTGTGATGTCTTGGATCAATGCTGGTCGCACCTCTCATGTATGTCCGATGTGCAGGTTTTTGTCTTGGCCTATCAACTCAAAGTCGTCACGAAACGACACCGCTGATAGACAGTAGTTAATGAATAACGAATCACATGATTTGTTCATCGCTTGTAGTGGATTAATTTCGTACCACATAGTAACTGGAACAGTGCTTACATCCTACTGCGCATACGTACCACACGTACCGACTCGTAGGCTCAACGTGTGCATAAACGTGTACATAAAGCATGCATCATCTGGTCGGATCTGCGGAATAATTTCGTGCTGCCAATACAACCCATCTGCATTTTTAACGCTTGTTTTCTGGTAAGAAATGCGTCAGACTACCTGCATTGGTTATTATGCATTATAAACGCCGAAAGATACATTCGTTTAGTACAAATACAGCACCTGCCACTTGACAGGGAGCATGCAGTCAGTGATTCCGATAGTGTTGATGACTGGGAAATACTAGCCCACGGGGTCTACGTCGGCTACGGGCCATGAAAGGAACACCGCTCCGGCCATGTGCCTATTGCAGCGACAATGGGTGCTTGTTCTACGGCCCTACGCTGAATTAATAGCGAATAGACGACATAAAACCCCTTTTTTACATGTATTGTCCTACCATAAAATAGAGCGTGCACACTAACCGAGCTCTGAACAAAATGACGGATTGTCTTTGCTTTCGACTTCGGCACTCATTTTTCAGCGTTCGGCTTTCGCTATAGACACGCTCAGGTCGCTACTAATGCGCCAGGTTAGAAACAGGACAGCAAACGGCAAGAGTCGTATTTACAACAGCGGTCTGGTGCGAACGACACTCGGTACGCGGAAGGCACCGTTTGCACAGCTCACACCATACTGATTGTCGGTTCTGGGGTCAGCGTCTGCCTCTGGGCCGCCCGCAGCGGGCGGTGGACGGGTGCAGTCCACCGCAACAGCCTGCTACACTACCTTTTACCTGCCCACCAACCGGCCGCGCGCAGAGTGGCGACGCTACAACCAACTACAATACCAGCGCAGCATTTACACCGAAACTACCTTACCAGCGCAGCATTTACATCGAAACTACGATACCAGCGCAGCATTTACGCAGAGATTACAATCACCAGCAGTGTTTACATTCCAACTACGATACCAGCGCGGTCTTTACACACCAAGGCTATAATACCAGCGCGGAGTTTACACCCAACTACGATACTCTCGCAGCAGATACAATACCAGAGTAGCATGTACAACGCTCGACCCCAATGATTACCCCTACGAACTCACTAATCACGGAGATCTATGGCCCAGCGTTTCGGTATGAAGAGATCTCAGTTACGTATGATTCTGCCAAGTAAGCTGTACATTTACCAGATCTGCATTCAGCGCGTGGTGGGGTGGCGCAGAGCGCTCGCAACCGGTCCTCTAGCTCGGTTAGCTACTGAAGCGCTCTGGTAAGCTACGGTGGAGACAGGTACATCACTGTGCCACCCCAGGCGCCTGGACCGTGCTATACCTGCGGTGGCTCGGGACGGTCCCATATCTGGTCCCTCACTAAGCGCCCACATCCCAGGACTCACAGTCAATAGAAACCTTCAGAGAGGACCCTCAGGAAGCTCCACTGACCACACGGGACACCGACAGACCCAGTCGGGTCCTGTGTGAGGCACTGTCCATCACAGGGCGTCTCCGAGCGAGACCCCGCCACTACCAGAGATCCTCAGAGATCTCGGCTACCACCAAACCACAGCCTGGCCGTCACAGGTCCGTCTCAAACAGAACGCTGCGCCGTTTGCGCGCGGCGCCGATCTTACGGTGCGCCATCGGGTTCGTCTCGCGGTCGGTGAGCGTCTTGCGGCGTTGGTTCTCACCGTCGTCGCTAGGTGGCTCTGTCGGCAGCGCCAGACTGGCATCCGTCCAGCACTCTGAGACGGATAGTAGACCTGGGGACAGGCCGAGGAAGGTCAGAGTGGCGCCACGAGACTGCGTAAACACAGGACTTTCACTGCCCCAGCCTTTACCGGATCAGCATGGTTCGAAAAAAATTGTGCTGGATCATTGCATGCTAATTCTTCCCCGCGTTCGCAGTCTCTCGGACGACGAAGATTCTACGCCGTCCGGCCAATCCCGTTCGAGGTCGGCGGGGGCTGGGTCGCGCTAATCGAAGGCTTTTGGCCGGACGACGTAGAATCTTCGTCGTCCGGGAGACTGCGAACGCGGGGCTAGTTATTGAGTCGAACATGTTCAAACTGAGCATGAGGAATCAAACACCGAATCCTTTACTGTCATCACTTAACTATTCAACTTAGATTTCATTCACGAAATCAATCTTATGTCGTAACAGTGAGCATTGGAGCATTATATCTCAGTCTGACTGTCTACTATGATTATCTGAATGAGCTCTGAACTATGTCTGAGCTCTCAGTGACTCAACTGACCGGTCTGCGCTGCGGCCGGCGGGTCCGTGCGCCGGTTACTGAGGTCCGCCAGGGAGCGCCGCTGGGCGCGACTCGGCTGCACGGGACTGAGGTGGGGCAGCGAGGCGCCGCTACTGGTGGACGTCAGCGAGCGGTACCCGTCGTCGGCAGAGTGGGCGGCGGCCAGGGTGTCTGTGCGAAAAGGAGGCGGGTGGTCAGCTAATTCATAAGATCAATCACGATTTCATGTACTTGAGATAAGATTTATGTATTTTAGATATAAAACATGCCTGCAACGGTGTGTGTCACGAACGTTCTTGAACTGTTTGTGAACAAAGAATTTGTTCGTGAGCATGAGGCTCTGATTGAAGGAATTCATAAATTACCAAATAAAGAAACAAACGTTATTCACGAACAAATATGTAAACCGCAAACCCTGGAAATAAATGAGCATCATAGCGGCGCCAAAAGTGATCGCCAGTTGCTGAACACCGGGGTTGCGTAAGCCATGCCGTTCACTTAGCATAATACCTACACAAGCACGACGAAGTCATACGGTCACTGCCTTTGACGTCAACCACTGATAAGGCGTTATAGACACATCTTAGGGTGAGTTACCTTCACCCAAGATATCAAATACCAAACGAGCTTGAATAAAAACAGAAACTGCAGGCACCATTCTCAGTTGCACGAGCAACGTGGGCTTCTCTAATTGATCGTTTTGTTTCTGATAGAGGGCTCCAACTAGTCTCGTTAATGTCCGAGCCCACCCCCCCCCCCCCCCCCCCATTACACGGAGACGATGTGACCGCGGTCCCTACGTCCGCCGGCGGTACACGTTGACGGGCTGTTTGCCGGGACACGGCTCCACGTCAGCCACCAGCTGCGAGTAGAGCCTCCACAGCACTGCGTCCCAGCGGCACACGGTGCCACCGCCCCGCTCCTCCTGCGTCAGCATCCTATTGATGTCTCCCACACACACCCAGGGCCGAGCGGCGTCCTCGGAGACGGCCCACTTGCTGTGGTCCTCGGAGCTCTTGAACGTGATGGTGAGCCTGCCGACGGTCGGCGCGGCGCGCTCCGCCGTCACCGAGATATCCCGCACGTTTTGTACGTGGTAGGCCAACGAACACTCCGACTTCATCAGGTTGGTGCGAGGTCCGTTCATCCAAGTCTCGGTGAGAAGGTCCACACGGGTGGCAGGTGCCACCAGGTCCGCGTACAGGTCCTTGCCAAACTGACGCGCCTTGGCGAAGGTGGCCAGGGACAGGCCGGCAGCGGTGGTCAAAAGGCGCACACTGAACCAGGGCGGCCGGGAGCGCCTCTTCCCTGCCACCACCCGCGCCATCAGCGGGTAGCGCGCCTCCAGAGCGGGCGCCAGCTGCGAGGCGTACAGGTGGGGCTCGTTGAAGAGCAGCTGCCGCGCCACAGTCTCCAGCTGGTCGGACGAGAGCGTCACGCACAGGAAGCTCTGTCCGAATTGATGGCCCGAGTGCGGGTAACCGTAGCGCTGACCCGGCGGCGGTGGAAAGTGCGGCACACTGTGCACCAGCCAGAAACCCTGGTCACCGTCAAACGCCACCACACCCTTGGTGTGACCTTTGTTGTGACCCTTTGTGAAGCTGGTCTGTCCGTCCGGGCGCTCGTTGTTGTAGAAGGCGTAGATGAAGCTCTTGTTCGCGGCGTGCTGATAGAGCAGCTCCAGCGTCCGTCCGGCGGCGGAGAGCGAGTCGTTGATGGGTACGTCCGACAGCGTCCACCGATCACCCGTCGACGCCGACGAGAAGTGCAGGAATCCGACGCCGTCATCGACGAACGGCGCCCCGATGTCGTGTATGACGGGCAGCTTGTAGAGGACGTACCAGTCGACGGCGGCTCCGCTCTGGTCCCGGCAGCCGAGCGGGGAGCCGGCGGCCGGCGCGGCCACCAGGAGAGTCGCCAGCAGTACCGGCACCGACAGACACATGACGACAACTGACGCTTCGGCTTCGGGGTAGCTGGAGCGGCGCGCGCGTGATCGTCCCGGCCAGCCGCGCGCTCCCCTCCCTCCCCAGTAGCGGCAGCTGCCGGCCGGGGTACGGCGCCGCGGACAAAGGCGCCGGACTGACATCCGAGAGTAGTCCCCCCCTCCTCTCAGCTCCCCGACTCGGCGTGCCGGGGGCGCCACATCCAGAGCATCGGGTGATACGATATCGGGTGCAGGGGGTCGCAGTACTCGGTCGAACGCTGCACTGGCGTCCGGGTATTACTGTCTTGATTATAATGAACGAAAAATGATGCAAAATTTACTGCTGAATGCTGATCCTTCCTGGCACCAGCAACATCTGTACGGATATCCCTTTCTTTGTCCTTCCTTGAAGAGCGAAGCCAGCATCTCCCCAAGGACGCGTGCAGCTGGATGTGCAATGTACCGCCCACCTGAGCACGGAGGAGGACCAGGACGGGGATACTGGCATCCATCACTTTTTCCATCGCTCTACGTAACACCTGTCTTGGTGACTTCAGCGAACCCAAGTAGTAGCGTGAAATGCATTTGTGTGCATTTGCTGGTTCAGATAAGGATGATAGGTGGTCAGCGCTATTGGAACGGTTCATAGCATACAATATCACACATAAGGAAATTGATGGTTTCATAAGAAGTGCTACGATTAACGTTCGGATATAGTACTCAATAGCTCAAAGAGAGCAGTAAAGAGACCGCCTTCCAACAGATATAAAAAATGACGTCATTCATCTACACAAGTCAGATGGACCAACAAACTGAGAGCACAGAACGAACCAGTCACCAGCCGCCCGCCGCGCTCCTGTCACTAACCTTCTGAGTCACCGGTGGTGTCGGCCGCAGCTGTCATCTCAGAGTCTGCGTCCGTGACGCTGACAGTAACGGCGTCCGTGACGGTACTGTCCGTGACGGGCTCCGTGATAGTGCTGTCCGTGGCGGCACCTGTGAAGGTGTCTGTGACAGTCTCAGTCACGCTGACAGTGGCAGGGTCCGTGGCTGATTCCTTCCCGTCGCCTGTGACTGTCTCCGCCTCCGTGTCGGCGACTGAGCCGGCCCCGGTGTCCTCACTGTCCGGGACGGTGACTGGTGTCGCTCCAGCGTCTGAACTGTCCGCTGAGGCAGGCCGTTTACCGGGCTCGGCTCCGTCCAGACACTCGAGCAGCGAGTCGCTCAGGGTGGCCTCGCCGACCAGGAGTCGCGCCGGGCTTGGTGCCACTGAAACAGCGCCATCCGCCAATCATCGACACCGGACAGAGCATGCCATGGCCACATAATCCAGCGGTACTCAATCGTGTTTCACAAACAGCACCAGCAAATAGCCATCGGTGTTTCACGCCGAAACTTGAACGTCTATTACTATTTTGACGGGCATTCATCTCGAAATTGAATTAAGATTTAACTACGCGCCATCATATCACATATCATTTTGAGGGAAAAATGACCAGAGGTTGTTGTTGCTAAATGAGATAATTTTTAATAAACTGAGGTGAAATGATATGCTGCTCTCAGTCTCACCTATGGCGGGCGCAGCGCCGGCTGGCGGCGGGGACGTCATCTCCAGCAGCGACAGGTCCACCGGCTCGGCGGTCAGCATGTCCCGCTGCAGCAGATAATGCTGAAACGGCGAACTCAGAGCCGCAGACGACTCCACGTCGGCGCCACGCGCCCGCTTCGCCGCACTCGGACTGTCGTCCAGTGACGCCATCTGCACCGGCGACAGGGGCGCCATCTGCACGGGCGACGGTGGCGCCACCTCTGTGGCCGCCGGCAGGCGGGAGTGCGAGAGCAGGCAGACGGCACGCCGGTTGCGCGGCGTCAGCATCTGCACCCGGGTGGTGGAACACATCGTGTCCATCTTCTGGCTGATGGGAGAGGAGGGGCCCGGCGGCGGCTGTACGGCGTCCACGCGCACGGGTCGCAGCGGCACCTGGCGGTGGGACAACAGGGCGGGGTGTTACTTAATCTGCGGTCTGGCGGTAATGCGCGCTGGGCTCGGAGTCGGAAGACATACGGCTCTAGTCCAGTCAGAGCTTAAGTCCCATGGCCAGCCAGTCGTTCATCACCAAAAGGGGTCCAAATTTACTGTCAAACTATCGTAAAAGAAATGATTCAGTAACATTCTTGTCGCACGAGATCGTGATCGAGACAAACGTAGAGGCTGGTAATAACTAAAAAGTGATATTGCAGTCAGCTAGGAAACCCAAGATTCCTTTACTACTCAGGTTGGTTCACTAGGGAAATAAAGGCGCCGTAGTGACGTCATCAGAGGAAATCCTTCACGTTCAAATGAAGGGGTCATTTGAATTGCTGATTTTGGCTCGATATAGTCCTATTTTTTAGTTTCAACCCCATTTATCGTAATAAGGCGAACTCATTGTTACATTGGTACAACTTTTGATGACACATAATCCTTTTTTTTCTCCAGCTCGCTCGAAAGATGATGAAATTTGCATGCATGCCTATGGGTCAAGGGAGATTCTATCGCCGTGGTGACGTCACGGTAAAGGGATTCTGGAGCTCGTGAACGGGGGCCGGGAAACCTACCCTGAGTGAATGGGTTAGGGATAAGTTTTCATAGACCTGACAGTTCTTTGATCGATGTCTCCACGGTCCACACTAACATGTTCTAAATTACGCGAAAAGAGCTAAATGAAAGACGGAACAAAGCACTGAACAGGATTATTCCAGTTGAAATTTCAAGATTTTGCTGCATGTGATGTAAAACCAAACTACAGATGGATGATTTACAAAGGGCAATAAGAGTGATGAAAGTGCTACAGATAAAAGTTAGTCAGATTTGCTATATCTGATAAAGAGCTAGTGTTGTCTTTTACACTAATGATAAAGGTGCCAATAAAAAAAGACAACTCATCAAAACAACAAAACACAGGAAATACGACAAACAAATCGTCCGAAGCTCCGTCTCACCTGCCCGCGTCTCATCGAGTTGTTCCGGCCGGCCCGGAAGGTCGACATCTCGGCGGTACGGTCCGGTCTGCGCGCCGAGCCGGGCAGCGGCCGCACGCCGCCCGGGTGCGCCGGCACGCTCTCTCGCTGCACCTGTCGCAGGCTGCGTGCCAGCCGCGGTGTGAACCGACCGGCCGCCGCCGTCGGAGTCAGCAGCGCGCGCTTCAGCGCCGGTCCGCCGCCGCCCAGGGACGGAGTCGGCCACATGCTCACCGAGTCATCCGTGTCAGGCGCCTCGCGGAACCTGCGCCGAGACTCGGGCGACGGCGGGCTGGCGAGAGCCTCCTCTGAGGCGCTGCGCCGCGATAGGGCAGCCTTACCTGACGCGGCAGCACCCTTCCGCGCCTTCCCGGCGAAAAACAGGTGCTTACGCAGCGACTCGCCGAAACTGCGCGTGCGCGTGCGCTGCGCCAGGTTGGGCGTGCCTGCGCCGCTCTCGCGGTTGAACTGTTTGATGAGTTTTCGGCGGCGCGCCGAGTCGGGCATGCTGGAGATGTGAGCGTACAGGCCGGCCAGCGCGGTCTCCGTGTCGTCCCGCTCGCCGGCAGCGGCCGACTGCTGCCGGTCCACGAACGTGAACACGGTGGACGCCTGTGGCGAGTCCACGCTGGCATCCGAGCAGCTGTGCCGCCTCCGTCGCTGCCGGTTCAGTCCCGGAGTGCCATCGTGACGGGCCAGGAACGCACGCATGTCCACCTCGAGCTCATGTGGTACCTTGAAGAGGAGTGGTGTGTTCTCGATCATCAGTGCCACTGCCTGAGCCATGGAACCGGACGAGTTCTGGAGTTCCGCAGCAGACATCTTGCGAGGGCAGAGGATGTGAGGTGCAAACATGGTGCCAAGGTTGAGAGCATTCATCTTGTTCTCTGAGTGCTTCCTGGAGACCTTGTACAGGAGGAACAGCAGATCTTTGAGGAGCTGGTAGTTCTCAGCAGGCACCAATAGGAACAGCAGCTGAAGTGCCTTGATCTGTTTGTTATGGGCAGCACATATCTGGTCAGCTGGAGTATCCACAGGACATATGTCTGCCACCTGACAATGAGCAGGGTACAGTGCCTTGGTGAGGAGTGGCTCACTGAGGCTGGCCAGAAAACCTTTCAACACACTTGCACAGTCATGAGCTGAGTAGACACCAGATTCAAAGTCAATTGATGCCCCTGACATCAGATCCTGCCTCAGTTCTTGTTGCCTGGCAATATTTCCAGTCTTCCGAAACAGTCCTTCGTGGGTAAGATTGTCGTCCCTACTGAGGAATTCAATCAGCTGATATGCCTGGCACACTCCCTCGTGTGACAAAACAACACCCTCTCCATTCCTGGACGACTTACTCTTGCTTTTGGTACTAAATGGCAAGATCTTCCTTGAACTCTCATTGTTTTTGTCTTCAGAATTGACTGGTGCATCTACTTCATCAACAGTGAAGTGCAGAAGAAATGAAAGATGCATTTTCACCAGTGTGAAAAATTGAGTTTCATCCTGATGCCTCATATTCATCATAACAGTTTCAGCATCCACAGAAGAAAAAGATGTTGAGAATGACACATCTTCATCCATATTTTATGATGGTATTCCAAGTGTTTTGACAACTGAAAATCAAGGCAATCCACTGTAATCTCTGCTATTTTGTCTTACTTTGGCCCCGCGTGGACAAAACTGGCGCCAATGCGGCAAAGAGTAAAATCGTTCTATGATAAATAGAACAGCAGCATCACGGACATAGCGGTAATTTCAGGCGTCCCTTTCATTCACTTCAATAGATATAAGAATATTTCACCGAAAAATGAAAAATACGTCCTCAATCTTAAATCGGCCGGAAACCAAACGCGAAATCACACACACAAACAATTTGAATTTTGTCTCTTGCGCCACTTCAGGATCTAATGCGCGCTACCAAATTGCAGGATTGCCTTCAAGGTGTAAGGTATTTCCTTCAAAACAATGAAAACAAATGTGAGGAAATGTGTCGACCGGTCCCGTCAGCACCTATTTATGGCAATTCAGGAAAGATATAACAGGCTCCTGACAAAAAATAAAAATAAAATAAAATAAAGAATGCTAACTCATGACATAACATCCATGATCCAGTGGTTCATCGGATTTTGATCCAATACGCGGTCTTCATTCGTCCAACCAGGGTACTTTCACGTCACCTTTGGTTCCGTTTATAAGGGTCTGCGATGCCTCAAAATTGGCAAGGTAAGTCTGGTAAAAAACAACTTTTTATTACAGAAAATGCCGATTGACTGGCGAGTGGCGACATACTTGCATGCAATAGAGACCACCTCGACTTCTCGCACCACGTGTATTGCATATTTCTTAGACTGGCCAGAGAGTAAACAGGAGCTTTAGGCGACAGCACAACACCACAACATTAGAGCAGTGCCCGATAACGCTATAGTGGCGTGCGGCACGACACAGCACTAGAGCGGTGGCCGACGACACGACGGCACTAGAGCGGTATCGACAACACTAGAGCACTATCAATAGCTATAGAGGCGTGCGATGCCCGACAGCACGGCACGACACAGCACTACCCTACCTAGAGCAGTATCCGACAACACAGCAACAAAACACCAGAGAGCGACAACACTTTACCCGGCACATGGCGCACCACCTTGCCATGCTATGATATGCATTGATTCCCTGTTATGATATGTAGCGACAAACCCGCTCCCAGTCCCAGACATGTTCGGAGCAGCCCCACGCCTGCGGCGGTCTCGTATTGCACTAGAAAACGGGGTTTTATTAGGCTAACTAGCGAAATGGTATGCTGGCGGGTTGTATATCAGATCGATAAAACCTCACACATGACACAATATCACTTTTTCAGAGACTGTGCTACTGGGCGTCACTGAATAGTTACTGTGCGCGAAACTCTCAGCCGTAAAACCATTGCCCCATGATATGTTTGAGTTACAGCCATGGTTCGCAGCAGCGGTAAATCGTCCGATAGACGCATATTAAGCTTAAACTCAACATACATTGGCCAGTGGACGGCCGGAATGGTATAACACCGCTGATAGACTGGAGTTAACACCCGGAATGTCGCAATGGTGAAAGGCGAAAGCAGATCATATTGACCATGAGTATATGTTAACATGGAGTACCAATCTCGACCAGCATTAACAGAACCAACATTGGCAGTTTGTACATAAAAGTGACTATTGTAGCGTCGTAAGCCCGTCACATGTTTAAGAACACTGAAGTGCCACTACGAGCCAGGCTTGTGGCGTTTGTGCGATTATTGCAACACCCAAGGCGTTCTACTATCGACACCCAGCGGCCAGCACACAACGCGCTCTACTGATCCACGGATCGCCAGTTTAAACTACTGGCCAGCTGAAAGTGGTCTACCAGCGACCACAGATTAGCAGCCTTAAACGCATATTGTTACTTGACTTACACGTACCCATACAAACATATCGACAACGGCCTACATCAAACCGACATAATGTGCTGTCTCTAACATTGAAAGCCGGACTAGCCGGTGGGTGTCGGAAAAGGACATATAGCTGCGGGCTACTGGAGCCTAGAGCCCGGTTGCTAGAGCAGGCTTCTAGAGTCACAAGTCGGCCACTGGAACCGGTAGGTAGGTACTGGAGGTGGCTATTGGAGGAAGCTACTGGATTCAGGAGGTGACTGCTCGACTCGGGACTCAGGAGATGGCTATTGGACTCTGGACCCAGGAATCAAGAGGCGGCTACTAGAGCCAAGTGACTGCTGGACCCAGGAATCAGGAGGTGGCTTGAAGGGACGGGAAATGGCTTCTGAAACCATGACCATCGGCTGCTGGACCTTTGAATGCGCTGGGAACGGCCACTAAACCCAGGTCTCAGGGATTCTGATGACTACTTGAATGGATGGCTCAGATGATAAATCCTGGACCATTGATCAAGGAATGGCTACGGGATCCCAGACTCATGAGATGGCTACTACCTAAGACCGAGAAGTGACTACTGGAGTCGGTTTCTTAGGCCAGGCTGAGGCGCTACTGTGGTCGGCTACGAAAGCTGTCGGATGCCACTATCCTGCCGTGAGGGGCAGCAGCTGTAGCCAGAAGTTGACTTCCTCGAGTTTTCCAGCAGCTTCTGGAGCCGGGAGTTTCCTGGCACCTACTGGAGTTTCCCGGCAGCTACTGAGCCGGTAGCTGGTTTCCTTTGTCAGTGGGCTGCGCTAGTGGAGAGCTCCGCCAGCGCCTGCGCAGCGGTGCTCGAACAGTGGCTCGATGACACCCGGGTCAGCCAGCGTGCTCAGGTCACCCAGGTCGCGGTCGCCCTGCGCGATCTTACGCAGCACGCGCCGCATGATCTTACCGGAGCGCGTCTTGGGCAGCCCGGGCGCGTACTGCAGGTAGTCGGGGGCGGCGAACGGCGCGATCCGCTCCCGCACTGAAACATAGCAACAACGGTCAGCTGAGACACTCGGCGTAGGAACCACTAAAACATGGCAGACTTGGGTGTCAAAATACGGCCACCGACACAGTGCCTACAATTACAAACTCAACTACAATATCCTACATCACGTTTCATTCTAACTTATCCTGCATCACGCAACTTCATTGCCATTGGTCATCAATGCGCTACCATGTCTGTCAAGAAAAAGTACTCAAATGCCCTGGGTCCATAACAGGGTACCTAAACTTCATTTTCGGCTGCCTCTGTAGCTGCTCAGTCTGAGAGATAGCTGCCGCCGAACCCACCTTTGAGTATGAGCTGTTTCTGGAGCTGCTCGGTCCAGGCCACGCCGTGCCGGGTGGTAACGAAGCAGTAGACACACTCGCCCTTGACGCTGTGCGGGGCGGCCACCACGGCCGTCTCAGAGACGTCAGGGTGCTCGATCAGAGCAGACTCGATCTAGCAACCGGGAACAGAAAGAAATGTTAGATCGCAAACCACGACACGCCGGAAGAGGACGATCAGAACAAGCCCAACGAAACGAATGGAACGGCCATAGAAAGGATCGCCGACTGGGAACGGAACGGAACACTAGGTTAATTATATACCACTTCACTGAAAGGAACGGCAAAAGGATTACAACTAACCAAAAACGGAACAAAATGGAAGTCAGGAAAGAGAGCAAGCCTCGCTCCGGACCAGAATGAGACAGTCACAAAGGGCACCCACCTGAGCTGTGGAGAGCAGGTGTCCGGACACATTCAGCATGTCGTCGATCCGTCCCGTCACCCAGATGTAGCCGTCCTCGTCTCGCCGCGCGCCGTCGCCCGTGCAGTAGAACCCGTTGAACTTTTTAAAGTAGGTGGTCTCGAAGCGCTCGTGGTTGCCGAACACGGTCCTCATGATGCCTGGCCAGGGCCGGCGGAACACCAGGTAGCCCTCTCCGGGGCCGTGGATCTCTACTCCCTGTTCATCGAGCAGCGCCGGCTGCACGCCGAAGAAGGGCCGGCACGCCGAGCCCGGCTTGGTGGGCGTGGCGCCGGGCAGCGGAGTGATCACGTGGCCGCCCGTCTCCGTCTGCCAGAACGTGTCGACGACGGCGCAGCGCGCGTCACCCACCACCCGGTGGTACCACAGCCAGGCCTCCGGGTTGATAGGCTCGCCCACAGAGCCCAGCACCTTCAGACTCTGTCGGCTGTGCCTGCGGACGGACGGGAGGAGTGTGAGGGCGGACGCGGCTGGTGCAGAACACTGGGAACCCGTCGCGTCTCACCGACAGAGCCGCTGCCAATTATCGCTTCAGCTGCTCCTTCGCTATTACCTATACCAGTAAAACGCCTTTTGGGCGAAGAACGAGCGAGCGAGATAGTGAGCCCTGCACGTGCGCAAGGGCGAGAGGGTACTTCCAATGGGGCTTGTGCAAAGCACCCTTCTAACCGGTCGCTAGCGGTGTGCCAAATTTGAACGCAATCGGCCAAGCCGTTCCGGAGATTTGGAAGCGGCATTCTGCACGTGCGCACGTGCAAATGGGGTCCAAAATGACTTTTGCACGGCACCCTACTAACTGGTCCCCAACCGTGTACCAAATTTGAGCGCAATCGGCCCAGCCGTTCTCGAGACCTGGAGTCGCCCCCTGCACGTGCGCACGTGCAGTAGCACCCTAACCGCAACACATGGGAATGCATTGCCTGGTGGGTGCCTACCTGTATGCCAAGTTTCAGCGAAATCGCCCCAGTAATTACCGAGTTATTAAAATGGGAACAAATTTGACACCTCTTATTGTTGTATTTTGCACGTGCAGTGGGGGTCACTCACATAGATCAAGAGCATCCGACCTTTGGTAGAAGGTATGCAGCTACCCTATAAAAATTACCGCAAGTCAATCGCCCAAGCGGCTGCTGAGATATGAGCCTCTCAAAATCACTACTTTTGCAAAACAGCTTGAACACCCTTGACTTTTCACGTGGCACGTGCCACGACGGTCACTGAGATGCATCAAAAGTAGTCAATTACGGGGTAGAAGGGATGGGGCTACCCAGCAAAAAAAGACCGCAGGCCAATCGGTCCAGCGGTTGCTGAGATATAAGCCTCTCAAAAGCGTTACAGGCCGGGCCGGGCCGGGCCGGGCCGGGCCGGGCCGCTCATACTGAGATTTTTCCGTTATATTGAAAAGACTCGCTTCGCTCGCTGCGCTCGCTCGCTCGTAATTACCAAATACAGCAATACGCATCGTTGAAATTATAGCTTAGGCGCATGCCTATGCGTACAGAAAAGAATGCTGATGATGGAGGAAATGCATGTCAATGAATGAAGGCCATGTAATAGTTCAGGCACAAACGAGATCGGGCTGCATCATTACTCCTGAAAAAGAGGGCAACTTCATGCATGCAAAAGTAAAAACAGGGGATGAAGTGATCCAAAAGCAGAAAAACCATACAAGTGAACAAGAAGAAAAAAAAAAACAAGAAAAAGATGGCTCAACAGAGACACACATGCTTGTGGACACGGATTGGCGACTGAAAAAGAAACAAGGACAAGAAGAATGGCTGCAAGGAATGTCTGTAACTGAAAATGATTTATACCGCCCAGCTCAGAGTGCCCAACGAAGCAGCCAGCAAGCCAGAGGATAGTGAAATGTGACCCGGGCAGACATTCCACCGAGCAGAAACAAACCGTTTGACCGTCTCGTCTCCGAGTCTCATGAGCGCGCGGATGGCGGTGGGTGCCGTGTAGAACTTGGAGACGGCGTACTTGTCGATCACCTCCCACATTCGGTCTCCGGTCGGGTAGAAGGGCGTGCCCTCAAACTGGGACGATACGGGGAGAGGCGGCGATAGAGAAAATAACAGACAACGCAGCCCGGAGTCAAAGGAGGGATAGTGTACCTTCACCAAGACGGACGGAGGACGATAGTAAGAAGTTGGAAGAAGACAAGACACAAGTTAGTGAATCAGTAGAGAAGCGTTTTAGTTTTGGTTGCATTTTAGTCTGCTTTCACCAATGTAAAATAAAACCCAGAAAAGACAAACGAGGACAAGAGAGTAAGCGTTGTGTGCGTAAGAGACATACAGATAAAGAACAGAATTAAGGGCAGACTGACAAAGATAGACAGGCATACAAGGACAGCCGGACACAAAGACGGACGCACACTTAAAAATAAGACAGCACAAACCAGAGCCGCGAACGTTATCACAAATTTAATTCAAACAGCGTTAGAATTAGAAATATCACTGCCAAGCGGTCAGCTGAGGATATCACGGACTACCACCACAGTCACCCTGGATGGACAATTCAGCGGATTTTCACACCCCCAGTCGGCGACAAGACTCACCATCACTGACGTAGCGCGGTTCAGCATCGGGCCGTAAGTGACGTACGAGTGTCCCGTGATCCAGCCAATGTCGGCCGTGCACCAGTACACGTCCTCAGGGCGGAAGTCGAACGAGTACTTGAACGTGGTGGCCACATACAGCATGTAGCCGGCGGTGGTGTGCAGTACGCCTTTCGGCTTACCCGTGGAGCCGCTGAAACGACGACAGAGACGCCGTGAGAGAGAGCGGAAAGATAGACCAAAGACAGATCGCACATATTTACACATTAGCTCCGGCGGCTCAATAATTTTGCAATTCACGTCCACGGTAAGCACGATCTCCTACGTGCCTCTGATCATGAGATGATTTGTCAAGCGCAAAAGTAGTGTGCTGGTAAGATCCGATCAACTGAGAGACAATCGCATTTGAAGTATAATAGTATTTAGGGTGCTGACGAAAGAAGTCGTACAAAGGGGAAGAATCTGATGCCAATGCACCGGATGTACGGGCAGCGCCCACTGCGTCTAACACGCGTTTGCTGGACAGGCGCATAAGATCCCTATCAGACCCTATGGGCGGGCGGGGCTCAGCTGCAGTCGGCCAGGCACGGACGAGTCGGTCGGCGCTGCTTGCCGGTCCTCGTCTGCCCCCAGGCACGGCGGTTCACGTTCTCCGCCCGCTCCCAATGGCGATTCCTCGCTCACCTTGTGTACAGCATGAACAGCGGATGCTCAGCGTCCACCCATTCCGGCTCGCACTCGTCAGAGACTCCCTCCAGCGCCTCATCCCACCAGAGGTCTCTGCCGGAGTTCCAGCCAGTCTGTGGACACACAAACACCGACCGTTACCATAGCAACACGCCGCCTCATCCCACCAGACGTCTCTGCCGGAGTTCCAGCCCGTCTGTGGACACATACACCGACCGTTACCATAGCAACACACCGCCTCCTCTCATCAGATATCTCTGCCCGAGTTCCAGCCAGTCTGTGGACAGCAACGACTGTTAACATAGCAACACACCACCTCATCCCACCAGATGTCTCTGTCGCCGCTCCAGCCCGTCTGTGGACACACAACGACCGTTACCATAGCGACACACCGCCTCAACTGAGAGACATCCAATCCAACCAACTGAGAGACAATGAGACGCGCCCCCATGAGGAGCAGAGGTAGCGGTGGGCGGAGTCTCGAGGGGCGGAGCTGGGGCCGTGCTGGTCTGGCCGGATGAAGAGACCGAGGAGCTGCGGGCCCCGGCCGGACAGCTATGCTCCAGTTACCGCGCAGAGATGGTAGCGCAGGTGACCGGCCTGGAGACCCTAACCCAAAAAGACCAAAAAGACCCAAAAACCCAAAAAGACAGGACCTGCCTATCGTGGTCTGCACGGATAGCCTCTCAGCAGTGGCGACCCTGCGCAACGGCCCGGCCGCCCAGACCTCCCCGCTGGGAGTAACGGCCTGGAGAGCCATGTTCGCCCTCTCGGATAATGGCCGGAAGATCCACGTCCAGTGGGTCCCCTCGCACTGCGGTGTGGAGGGTAATGAGCGAGCCGACAGGGTGGCCCGAGAGGCCGCGGATCTACCACAAGACAGCGTGCCTGCAGACATCAGGACAATCACCCGAGCGGTGGCTAGGGCCGCCCGCGACGACACGGTCCGGGCCTGGCCCCCCGGCTGGTTCCGGTCGCTGATGGGGGGGCCGATTCCCCCCCCCCTCCACCGGTGGCGGGGCTGGACCGGGAGAGAGCGGTGGACGTCCACCAGCTGCATGCCGGGCACTGGGCGGGCTCCAGGGCCTATCTGCACAGGATCGGGGCCGTTCCCTCTGTGGGATGTGAGGGCTGCCGCGACGAGGGCTGTGTGGCAGCCCGCTGTCCCCTGTGCAATGAGGAGCCTGACACGCCGGCACACGTGCTGCTGAGATGTCCAGCGCTGATGCGACTGAGACATGCAACCCTGGGTCACATCCATCCCAGGCTGGAGGAGGTCCGGGAGACCTCAGTGGTGGCGGCCCTGGCGGCCGCCGCCAAACGCTTACAAAGCCGCCTGGCTATGCATCCATGAGGAGCAGAGGGAGAAACAACAACAACAACAACAACAACACACCGCCTCTTCCCACTAGATGTCTCTGCCGCAGGGGGTCGGCGGCGGATTTGGCAAACAAAGACAGTTTTAGCCACGGTGGTTTTAGCGTTTTAGCTCACTCCAATATCACCGAAGTAAGAAGCTTCACGCCTATAGTCGCTAACAATTAACGCTAGGTTAGACAGGGACCCATCATCAGCTACATTACGCACAACTACAGCGGCGGCCTAGCACATACTACATACTTGTTAAGTGTTACAATAGGGCTACATAGCTGTACCACGCTCGCGGCAAAACCCACCTTGACGTCGTAGGGCTCGGAGCCGTCGGGCTGGTCCCCCACGGAGGGCACCAGGTGGTGCAGACGGGGCAGGTGGCGCACCACCACCACACGCTCCACGGGGTGGCCGCGCGCGGCGCATAGCTCCACGGCTGACGACATAGGCGTCACTGGTCAGACTCAGTCAAAGATGAGAGGAGGATGCGCAACGGTGTGGGGCAGGGGCACGAAAAAGGGTGCCGAGTGCGACACATAGGACACATAGAGTGAGGGGCAGAGAGGAGAGGGAACGTCACAAGCGGAGAACAGGAGTGGGGTGGGACAAAGGCCGATAGACAAAGATAGGCAGGACAAGCGTAAAATTTGGGACAAAAATGGACAGCACGAGAAGAGGACGAAGAAGAACATGGCATTGGGGACATAAACTTTTAGGGCATAAAGTACTGATATCTAGGTGACACATGTGCGCACAGACGTCCCACAGAGCAAAATACGTGGACAAAACATGATTCCTGTCACTGCCTGCGAAAGTATTGAATAATTGCCACCTGACACGGTCTGTAATGTGTTGAGTTTGGTGAGTTTGTTGCCGACGTGCTTGTGTATGTTTGTCGGTCACCTACCGTGGTCGGTGATGTGTTTGAGTTTGATGAGCTTGTTGCCGCGCCAGACGCCGTCGGCGGTGATGACCAGCCGACAGTGGCCGTCCAGAATCCGGTCAGCGAGCGCGTCCGACGAGTATCCGCCAAACTGACGATACATGGGTCATGGTCCGACACAGTCACGGGACAATCGGAGGTCACAGTCATATTCGGACTGACCGATTGGCAGTCACTACATTCATAACTGACAGTCACAGGATAGGCCCCTACAGTCACGGGACTCAATGACTTAGACACATGATTTGAGTGAAACAGTTATGGGCCTGTGTCACAAAAGGCACATAGGTAAGTAAAGAGTCACGGGAATAAGTGATACAGTTACAGAATGAAGTGACAGCATCAAATTTATTGTGTAACAAAAGTCGAGGCTGATGGCTAGTCTCGTGTCGTGACTAATGGATGGGACCCAGATAGCACGGGGAAAGGCGCAAACCAATTCCCCTGGTTAGGGGAATTGGTTCCCCTTAGTTCGCACATTGATCGGCAGCTGAGAGCCAGCTATAGGGGTCAGTAAAACACACGAAAAACATTCGGCATTTTCGCATCTTCACCACAGTTGAATCAGCACTTCAACGTGCACGCAGTAGAAACTTTTTCGAGTGACACTCATTTGGGGGCGAGCTATGTTGAGCACGGTCGCTGCCCTCCCGTGTCCGTCAGAGCGATCTGTTTATATCACCGATCACGGGCCGGCGCTTTTCGATCCGGCGGCGGCAGCGTGACCTCTGCCCCACTGGTCCGGGGTGTTCGGCGGCCGCGCGACAAACAAACGGAGTCCGACCACACACAAAGTCGGTGATCAGCCTGATCGTGGGGCCCCGGCGGTGGCTTGTGGTCGCCGCCGTACTGCTCTAGACAACCTCGTACGTGCGACGTCATATCGCCTCATAGATCGGTCTCCTGAAGCCTGACCTCATTGCTGACTGTACATCGCAGATACTGGTAGTCGGACCGAGTTCCCATGCCAACAGACGCGTGAAAATGACTGACCAGATCCGAAATGCCGGTGAAACATAACTTTACATAAACATTTTACTTCATTCTGTTAGAGCGGTCGACAGACATTTCGGGCATCAGAGGCCCCAAGACATCGCGGCTAAACATACGGCAGTGCCTGTCTCCGCCATTGGGCTATATGATTTTTCTAAATGGGCAGTGCTAGCTTGTTAACGTCGTGCAATCGTTGCGAGGTGTGATGCAGATGAGATTGAGCGGTGAAGAAAAGTATGTTTAAAGATAAGTCACACGTTGACTTTTTGGCGTGTCGCCGCACAAAGCAGACCTATATGAGATTGCACTAGGAAATAATTGTTACAACGCAATCATACTATATAAACTCCGTCTATCGGAAGCCACCATTCAACACTCGGTTAGCTTACCGCGCTCGACCGCCCCTAGTCACCACTGGGTTTCCTGCGCCCTTCCCCAGTCCCCGACCGCCGGATGTCCCGTGATCGGCCGCCCCAATCACTGCTACGACTAGGTGTTCCTTGCCCGCCATCCCGCCCCCCCCCCCCCCCCACACACACACACAGACTCGACGTTAGGACTGGGTATCCTGTGTCTGGCACTTACCACGATGGAGTGGACGGCTCCAATGCGCGCGCAGGCCAGCATGGCCACGAGCAGTTCGGGCACCATCGGCATATAGAGCGCCACAGAGTCCGAGCGGCGCACACCCAGTGAGCGTAGAGCGTTGGAGAACCGTTTCACCCGCTGCAGCAGCTCGGCGTACGTCAGACGCGCCGAGTCGGCTGGCTCGTTACCCTCCCTGGAGGTGAGGGTCACGAAACGGCCCACGGGTTACGGCACGGGTTACGATAAAGGTCGCCTAGCGGGTGAGATACGGATTACAACGCAGGAACGACGAAGGTTACCACACGGTTACGACACGGGTTACGGCACGGGTCACGACACGGATATGATACGTGTATGATACGGGTACGACTCGGGCCACCGGCTCACGGGTCATTAACCCCCGTGGGACCAGTGTGGGTGGGTCACACGGCACACCCAGTGGCTGTCAGGCACAGAGGCCGGGCGTAACGTCGCGGGTTGTTCGTCGGGCTCATCATCGCTAAGCCGTATTCGCCACGCTTTATGTGGGAGGCTTTTGATGTCAATACATACATACGTAATATGTCAGGGAACACCGGAACTTTCGAATCGAATGGCCTCACTATTGGTTCCAAGGGGACACCGGAAAACTATGAGCATTATTAGCCGAACTCAAGAATTGAGACCCGGCAATTACGACACAGGCAAGGCAGGAGCAGGCCGTTTACCATGCCAGTAAGTAGCACACAGACAATGCTGGAGACAGTCCAGACAACAAGGGCGCCATGATGCCCAGGGCAGTCTTGTTCTCGGTGACTCACTCACCAATAGAATGCCACCTGATCTCCGTGTCCAGCCTCCACATGCCGGTCCAGGCAGTTGTAGCTCATGTTGGTCTGGGCGCCCTTCATCCACTCCACAAAAATCCTCCCTTTAGAGGCGTCAAAGTTGAATTCATGGAAAGCGCCGGTGGGCGGCTGCTGCCAGTAAAACTGTTTGGCGATCTCGCCCCAGAAGGTCTCTGGCTCATCGATGGACTGCTTGTAGAGTTGCTCGTACTGCTCCATGGAGGAGCAGTGGGCGCTGCGGGCCAGCCCAGCCGGCGGCAGGTACACCTCATCCACCAGACCCTCCACGTGGGTGGCCATTGTTGAGCGTCGCCTGAGAAAACAATGAGTCAGTGATAGAAACACTCAAGGCATATGAAAACACTATGGAAATGGAGGTATATGAATCACTCAATGGCCAAGAGCATCAAGCATGTTGCATAAAAAATATCCACAGCTGGCAATCCTTACGCTGACATAAGAGGTCTTTGGCTTTTGACCATTTCTGAGTTATCTATATTATGAATTATATCTTATAAATCAAAAATACAACTGAATGCATCATGTCTCAGTTAACCCTCACCGAACCTATTGGTTTTGTACATACCCGAGGGGGGGGGGGGGGTGGGGGTGGGGAGGGGGGTACGACTCCCTCGCCGTTTCGTGGACGATCGATTTTGTCCCTAATGGAGCTAGAGCGTCGCGGAAAAGACACGAGCGTGTGGGCAGTTACGAGACGCAGCGATTGGTATCCGATTTTAAGGTCTCATGTCAACCGTTAACCGCTGAGGTCAGGTCAAGTGGACCAAGGTACGGGAACTAAGGGTTCGGTTTTTGGCAAATAACTTTGCAAAAAAATGACCACAGAACCGCGATTTTGACAGCATCGTGTTCGCCTTACTCAGGCGCGTCAAATGGTATACTTTTAGTTTGGGTGATGTCAATTTAGGTGTTGACCTCAGGTCACAGAAAAAAATCAACATTAGTAGAGCAAACGTCACATGAAGGTTTTCAAACTGAGGAGAGGCGCTGTAGGTTTGTAGGTTGTAGGGTAGGTTTGAAGGTTGTAGGTTTTTAGGTTGTAGGTTTGTAGGTTGTAGGTTGTAGGTTAGGTTAGGACAGGCAGGTTAGGTTAGGTTTGTTTAGGCTTTGTTAGAAAAAAGCACCTCTGGGTATAGCGCCTCTCCTTGGTTGGAAAACCTTTGTGTGACGTCTGCTCTACTAATACCAAAAAATCTATGGGGGCGGTAATTCCCCCCTTTGGCCAGCGAGAGTTAACTTAAAAGTACTGAGGGCTGTTCACGGCCCCTGTGTGCGGTCGGACCGCACACAGCCTCCAAGCTCCGCCCACTGCGTCCCTACGTCAGCCTTCCGTCACCGCACACAGCGACCGCTGTGGCCGGTCGGGACTGGCCACAGCGGACCGTCCACCGCACGCAGCCGTGACATCAGAGCCGCCTACCCATCCCCTACCCCCACGCCTGCTGGACGTACCGCACACAGCGCACGCAGCAGTTTGCGGTGCCCGTGAACACCCCTCTGGTAAAACAAAAAGAATATAAATACCTAGAGCATCAGGATTTCCATATGAAGAGAGGCTTAGAAAAAAGAAAAATATTTTCAATGAGGACCACAAATTTAATCTGCACATTCACCTGCAATTAAATTGTTATTTTGCCAAAATGTTTTTAATGTCACACAGTATCAGTATGTACAGTCGACTACAGAATGATGTTCCACTCCTCAGAAGCTCAGTTGGGGAAACTACGAGGAGCCAAACAAAAATTGGATTAGCCAATCAGCGGCTGGAGTGGGCGGGGCGATGACCATATATGGTCATAAAATCAGACAACTTCATCTTTTCAATGAATTTTAGCATTCAAATGAAAAAATGAGGCATAAGAATGTTTTTTAACCACACAAGGCCTACACTCACCCGGTGCATAATTAACTGGCGGCTCTAAATCACAGAGTTACAACGCAAGGTCAAACCGTGATTGGCAAATATGGCGGATTGAAACAGACGCGCCAAAAAATGTAAGCAGTACCGTGGTTTAAAAATGTCATTATTTTTATTATTTTGTTTATGGTTTTTCTAATTGTAATTAAGTTATTATTTTAGAATTAAATATTTTTGTTTATTGTAATTTAATTAAATCTTTTAACAATTTTCTTTCATAAAACCAATCCATTTATTGAATGGCCAGCTGATTGTGATGCCCAGAACCTGCAGAAAAGCCGTTTTCCTATCGCCATTTTCGAGTCAATTCGCCGAATTTAATCAAATCACACTAATTCCTAGCGAAAAATGGAAGCCTTTTCTCTCCAATAAGTGGACGCGATACCGCAAGTACCGGCTTGTTATACCGTTTTTCACCCTTAGTAGCGGGGGCTGCATTTATGCCCATATATGGTCATCAAAAGTCCATTTATTGACCAATCCATTTTTTGACATTCGCCTCGTAGTTTCCCCAACTGAGCTATCATGATCAGTTGACCAGAGCTCTAAGTTGTGCTGTTTATCACGCAATTAAGCCGAGCGTGTCGATTGTGAGCATTGGGACAAACCGACAAAGCTATAATTTGTGAACTCAGCCCGTGTGATGCAGCACAGCCTATTGCCTGTGAAAAGTGGAACATCTTTCTGTAGTCGACTATACTGATACATTTACATGTCAGCACAGGTAGCACAGGCTGAGGCTGGACAAAAATAATGTCATCCAATAATAATCTCGACATTCTTATGCCAATGGATTTATTCAAATTTTTCAATATTGTTTCACCTTTGCTGCTGCTCTTTCCTCGAACGAAAAATGCCAGAAGGAAGACCCGTATCCTCCCAAATTTGAATAATAATTTTCTATAAATCTGTCATTTGCGAGAGATCGTCTTTAAAGCTAGGTTCATGTCGCTCCTGCTTCTTCATTTTTGAATCATTACACATTACAGTTGCTACCATATTAGCCAAGCTTGCTGTAGCCTAAAATTATCGAGCTCACCCAAAATCCGCCCAAGCTCACTAAATTATCTTGAACTCAACACGGTTATATGGCCTTCCTGATTGTTCAACACCGTCTTTTTGTGCTGTAGCTTATTTAACAAAGAATAGCAACTTATTTAAATTTATGTGTTTCGAAGAAAGTCAAAGTGGAATGTAGGATGCCAAAATCGGAAGTAGCCAAGAGCTTTCCTAGCTAATTTGGCAGCTAGCTCTGCTCTTATACGGCCTTGGCAGCTAGTAACGTGTGACGTGTGAACTGATAAGAATGTCTGCTGCGCCAAGAACTGTCGCATTATCGTCAGTTCACGAAGCAGAGAGATGTCACCACTAAATCAGAATAGACTATGTTCGACATAGATGTTTGACCACCAACTTTTCCCTATATTATATATTAAAGGGACCCTCCCACCTTAACATAAGTTTTGAGTTGAGATAGCCAAATTGGTGGCCATGACCTGCAAATACCGGAGGGGTGTTCACGGGCACCGCACACTGCTGCGTGCGGTGTGTGCGGTGCGTCCAGCAGGCGTGGGGGTAGGGGATGGGTAGGCGGCTCTGACGTCACGGCTGCGTGCGGTGGACGGTCCGCTGTGGCCAGTCCTGACCGGCCACAGCGATCGCTGTGTGCGGTGACGGAAGGCTGACGTAGGGACGCAGTGGGCGGAGCTTGGAGGCTGTGTGCGGTCCGACCGCACACAGGGCCCGTGAACAGCCCTCAGTTTGGACACTCACAACATCGAAAAATGCTTTAATTCGAAGATATTGATATGGAATTTCAAACTTGCAGTTTTCGGATTCTAAGGGGCTAATGCATTGGAATGCCCCCTTAGAATTTGTGACGTCAGCGGAGATCTAACGATTTTTAAATCTTAGACTAAAACCATCGTTAAAGGGACCCTCCCACTTAACATTAGATTTGAGTTGAGATAGCCAAAATGGGGTCCCTGGCTCACAATTACCGGTTTCGGCACTCATAACATCGAGAAATGCCTTAAATCGGAAATATTGAATTTCAAAATTGCAGCATTTTGATTCAGAGGGGCTAATGCTTAAAGGGACCCTCCCACCTTAACATTAGTTTTGAGTTGAGATAGCCAAATTGGTGGCCATGGCCTGAAAATACCGGTTTGGGCACTCACAACATCGAAAAATGCTTTAATTCGGAGATATGGAATTTCAAACTTGCAGTTTTTGGATTCTAAGGGGCTAATGCATTGGTATGCCCCCTTAGAATTTGTGACGTCAGCGGAGATCTAACGATTTTTAAAACTTTTACTAAAACGTTTGGCAGCACGCGGTGGTATATGCTGCTTTGCGCGCAACAAATGCCGCACTTTCAAATAAAGTCGCTAGGAACAGCGGAGATCCCGAAAAGTAAACAAAAGTAAAAGTCTAATATCTTGAAAACCGGTGGATATTTTTCGATGAAATTTGGTAGATATTCATTTTTGCTCTTTCTGAACCGAGCGACATCACTTTCGTGCCAATTCATTAACTTTTTTGAAGGTGGGAGGGTCCCTTTAAGAATACCCCTCTGAATGTGTGACGTCAGCGCAGATATCTAACGATTTTTAAATGTTTGACTAAAACGTTTTGTAGCACGCGGTGGTATATGCTATTTGCGCGCAACATCTGCCGCAAACGCCGCACTTCTAAAATAAAGTCGCTAGAAACAGCGGAGATCCCAAAAAAGTAAACAAAAGTAAAAGTCTAATATCTTGAAAACCGGTGAATATTTTTCGGTGAAATTTGGTAGATATTCGTTTTCGCTCTTTCTGAACCGAGCGACATCACTTTCATGCCAATTCATAAACTTTTTTGAAGGTGGGAGGGTCCCTTTAAACCACGAGCAGGAATAAAAATCATTTAAACGTCTCGCCTGCGGCTCGACGTTTAAATGATTTTTTTTCCTGCGAGTGGTTTAATTGTTTTATCCCGTGGCGGTTGCGCGTTCTTCAATAAATATACAAGCTCACAAAGCCATCTGCAAAATATTTATCAGCTTCCATGATTACTTCCTTGGATTACTTTCTCGTTACTTTTTGATAGTAGGGGTCTGATTACTTTATTGTACTAATTAATTTCTACTTCTTCTTGGTCTAACTACTTTCTGGGTCGATATGAACCATGAAAGGGAGTTACCTAATTTTGACATGTTTCAAGGGTTCCTGGACTATGATGATGAACCAGATGAAAATGTGGAAGAAAGAATTGACAAGTTTATTCAAAATCAGGTGCCGGCGGCAACGACTAAGAAAACCAAGTCAGATATCCGGAAGTTAGACGCTTTTCTACAAAGAAAGAATGAGACTAGACCGATAGAGATTATTCCGGCAAGGGAGCTGAACATAATTCTATGCGAATTTATCATGGAACTTAACAAGGACAATGGCGATCCATTTGAAATTTCTACTTACAACGGCGTTCGGTATTCGCTGGAGAGACATCTGAAGGCCGTGAAGCACCCGCAACCAGATCTGAGTGGGAAAGATTAAAGAATATGATAAGTTTCGGGCTTTGTAAAGCCCGCGCCTGTAGGAATAGGTTTTCCTGGTCGACGGGCGCCGCGTCGGAACGCGAGGCTGGCTTTCACCTCGGGCGGGCTGACCGTTCCGACTCCCGCCTCGAGCTGGGTTATAACGCGAGAGCGCCGGCCGATCGGGGCTCTCGTGTGGTGGCTACGCTCGAGGTAGGTGTCCCGCTGACCCGGAGGATGGGGCTTTGTGCTCACCCCGCCTCCCTAGCTAGGCTACGAGCAAGGTAAAGTAAATGTGTAGATTGCGCGTGTTAGGGTATGTTAGGCTAATCTGCGCGTTTATTCTGAGGCGACGTAATTTCCCGTAGACGTACATTTCCGAGCAGTCTTGTTTCATTCTTTGGCGTTATACTTGTTTTATGTAAATAATAACGGAGCAGAAATCTTTATCTTGTTTGGCAGAGAGAGACATTCGAGACGAGAGACGAAAGACGGAGATAATGAATGAGTCACGGAGTTTAAACATTTAACGTAACATAAATGTAATATTACGTTCCTTGCAATTAAGACGGTGTATTGCACACCGCAACCCACGAGGGCTCGCGACCCACCGTGCGGCAAAGGTGTTGCATTCCCTGACCACCGGATGCTAAAGTAAAGTAAGATAATAGTTGGACCACCACGGCTGGGTGGCAGACGGCTGTTGGAGGATTGCACGGGTGTCGGCGGTAGCGCAGCCGCCGGCATCACGAGTACATTACATAATTTTGGTGCATCGGCCGGGAATCGCTGTTACGTGTGCACATTGCTCAAGTCGGCAGTGACCCTTCTTCTGATATGGAGAAGCCCGTAAGTCTCGACCAAGCAGGCTAGTTTGCGTGCACAATCATGTCAGTCGGTGTGACCCTTGTTCAGCCACTATATAAGTCTTAAACTGCGTTAGTTGGTTGGAGAAGCCCGTAAATCCGCGACCCAGACACCTGTTGTTTGGGCGGCATGTTGTGCAAGTCGGCAGCGATCCCTTCTCTTGATATAGAGAAGCCCATAAGTCTCGACCGAACTAGCTTGTCTTGCGTGCGCTTTGTGCTGCAAGTCGGTGTGACCCTTGTCTGACCACTATATAAGTCTTAAACTGCATTAGTTGGTTGGAGAAGCCCGTAAATCTCGACCGAACAGCCCCAGTCGATGTGCCGATTTAATTTGCTCACTCCGTGAAATATTCATTACTCAGGGACAATCGAGCGAGCCAGCCACCAAAAATTCATTAGGAAAATTTTGTTGACGACTGCATAAATAAGACATCGGTGAGATTAAAGATCTAACCGATGAATGGCGGACCGTATGATTGATTGGAATGTTGTGCGAGAGATGAAATTGAAATGTTTTCGTCACGGAAGAAGGCCTGTCCTGACGAGAACTTCAATTATTGTTATGCCTGATATCTAGTGCTATGTTTGAAATGCTAGAAAACTTTGCTGTGCTTCGTTTCTTTCTAAGACCTATAAGTGGCCAATTCAAACCACAGGCGTTAAATTGTAAAACTTTATAAATTCGTAATGATATGATTTTGCCAGTAACGTATTTACGTGATACGTAATGTAGTTTTGTCGTTGAAACTGATACTTCCCTCGTCAAAATCATTTGAAATGCCGGTGAAATTATTATCTGAACATTCACTAAGCGAGATGTTAGAATGACCATGTTTCCTCAGAATTATTCGTAAATTTTGCGTTTAACCGTTCAAAGGTTATTTCACCGTTTTACTGTTCTTATTCTCTCATTCACTGATCGGGAATCATTGAAATTCTAAAAAAAATTGTGAATAAGGTATTCATAAGGAAATGTCAAAATTGCCATATTTTGCTCATAATTCTCATGAATTATCGTAATTGAACATATTGATTATTTCCCATTTTACTATAACCTGGGCTAGGCTCACTGATCGAATATAAATTAATTGCCGGTGAAACTTTAAATTCACTAGGTAAAAATGTCAAACTAGTCTGTTTAACTCAAACCTTTGATAAATAATGCATTTTGCCGTATTAAATCGTTTCACCGTTTTAATCTGTTTGCTTCGTGCAGGCTTTTGTAATCGTTTACGAAGCATGATCAATTGCTGCAAGCCGTGAACTAAATTCACGTGTTATGGAAACGTATTGCCCGTGCAATCTATATTTAGAATGCTGTATTGTATTTGTGAAGCTCGATTAATATTTTGGGAATGTAAATTCAATTACCGATTACAATCTTTATTTTCCGTTTACGTGCATAAGCCGACGTTTTAAAACATTCTGATTCATGTAACAAAATGAATCGTCGTTTAACATCAGCTTTGTAGGCATGTTAGTTTATTTACCGTTTAAGTTTTGGCACTTACGCGCTTTACGCCCATGTTCTACAAGATTCATGTACCTAAGAA